AGAGAATTTTTAATATTTATTTTTTAGTTCTCGGCGGACACAACATCTTTGTTGGTATGTGGTGCTGAGGATCGAACCCGGGCCGCACGCATGCCAGGCGAGCGCGCTACCGCTTGAGCCACATCCCCAGCCCCCTAATAGACATTTTTAAACTATAAAACTGATCATTATTTTATAGCGTATTATTCACTTTGATATTTTTGGCCTTGTAGCATCCCTTATTGGCTGTAAACTCCTTAAGTAGGCACCCTGTTTTATTCATCTCTATACTAACAACACCTACCACATAACCTACCACATAACATAAACATAATAAGAAAATAAAAACAAAATATCGATTACCTTTTTTGTGAAGAACAACTGTAAATACTTTTCAAAACTGCACACATACACAAACTACTAAAGTCAGCTAAGAAAAAAGATCAGAGAAGGCAGAATGTGCAGTGGGAGGCATAGGACACCTGTGCCAATTCCTGGTTACACTCACCCTGAGCAAACTGATCCAGGTGTGAAATCTGACACATTTCATAAGCAATTGTAGCCTTTAAAGATTCTAAAATTAAATTCACTTGGCACACAGTTCAACCTACTGGACAGATAAATCAAGCTATGAAAAGTGAAAAGAGAACAAGATACCAGTCTCATAATATGATGGGACAAAATTACTCAAATATGGGATTTTTTTTTCTGCATCATAATAGAATTTCTAAAATTCATTCCAAGGATAAAATTCCAGTCCTTTATTAAGTGCACTTTCTGATCTTGAGTCAGCTAAACAGGATTAAAGAAGCAACCAGTACAAGGTAGACCTGGTCTAAGAGTTTGGCCATATATAAATTCATGAGTCAAGCAAATTTATCCTCATTTACCCAAATCCATCAGCTCCAAGAGTTAAATAAATTTTGAAGGACTCTCTTAATTCATGGTGCCACACACCATCGAGGAAATCTGTTTTTTTTAAATATTTATTTTTTGTAGTTATAGTTGGACACAATACCTTTATTTTATTTATTTATTTTTATATAGTGCTGAGGGCCTTGCACATGYAAGGCAAGCACTCTACCACTGTGCCACAACCCCAGCCCCAGAAATCTTGACATTAGGTTTACAAAACAGTTTTGCTAACTAAAAGTGGAGTGGGGGTTAGGGTTGTGGCTCAGTGGGAAAGCACTTGCCTAGCACGTGTGAGGCCCTGGGTTCAATCCTCAGCACCACATAAAAAATAAATGAATAAAATAAAACTATAAAAAAAAAGTGGAGGGGTCATCAGGGTCACCTGGACACTGGCACTGTAAATATGGTGCAGCTGCATGGCTCTCTCAGAAGGAGCCATCTGATCCTGGCAGGAAGCGCAGACATGGCTCTACTGCAGTCTGAGCGGATTTTCGATCTAGAAATGCCTGGTTACTCTGCGCACACAGATGACACTCATCTGGTATACTAAGCAACAACATGACTCCCAGAAAAATCCAGGTATTTCCCTTTCAATGATGGGCATGGGATTAAAAGAACTATCTCCAACTCAAAAAGTCAAAACTACTCCCTGCACAAGCCTGTCCCTACTTCCTGTGTACCCTCCATTATCACACTGCACCTCCCAGGTCTCTGGGTGGCACTCCCTTCTAACCCCAGACATCTCACTGTTGTGTCCTGCCAACTTTATCATCAAACAACCTTGAACCAACTTCTATTATGGTCTGAATCTGTTCCTCCAAAATTTGGATATTAAAGTTCTAACCTACAATACTGTACAATATAAGTATATTTGGAGACAGTCTTGAAAAACATAATTAAGTTAAAACTAGTTGGTTAGAGTGGGCCCTATTCCAATGTGATTGGTGCCCTTATAAGAAATGTAAAGTTAGACACAGACACACAGGGAGGGAAGACTGTGAAGATGTAGAGAAGATGGCCATCTGCATACCAAGGAGACAAGCCTCAGAAGAAACCATCCCTTCATGATCTTAGACCTCCAGAGTGTGAGAAAATAAATTTCTGTTGTTTAAGCCACTCAATCTGTGGCACTTTGTTACAGAAGCTCTGTCAAGTATACCTTCTCTCCTTCCTCTAGGCTATGTGCTTCTCACCTTGGTGGCCTCCCACTTACACTCCTATTAAAAGACCCCTCTCTGATCTACCTTCTATGTTGTCCCGAAATTGGATCTGTCACAGTAGTATTTATCCCCTAAGGTTGATCCCATCACCTGCAGGATCAAGCCTAACTTCCTTGGCATGGCCTCTCTTGATCTGACCATCTCTATCCATCATCACTACCACTTACTTTCGGCTGTATAGCTCATGAACAAGTTCATGTGCATAAGAATGTCATAGTAGTTTCACTCATAAAAGTCCCAAGCAAGAAACAACTGGTGTATGTATAACAACTTGTGATATTCACACAACAATGATAAAAGAAACAATTCCTGATACTCTCAAAATGAATGAATCTCAGGTTATAATGACTAAAAGAACCCCAAAGAATAGTGTACTCTACAGTGATGKCAAAACAAGCAAAACTATGAAAATAGAAATTAGATGAAGAGGAAAGGGAAGAGACAGCAAAGGGGCTCGGGAAGCTTTCTGATATTTTCTGGGATTTCTGGTTACTCTATTTTCTACATATAGGAACACTCATTCATTAAGCTTCCATGCAGAATTTGCATAAGGAAAAGTGTAATTATATAACACCCTCCTTATTCTGAACTAATGGTATGGTTTTTCTTTGAGTTGAATGCTGGTATGAGCCCACACAGACCATCAGCCAGCTTCAGGCTCACGTCACTATGTACTTTACATCTCTGGTAGTCACTGTGTCACTGGGTGACCCATCTTCCACTCAGATGCTTTCCCCCACCCTACCTCAACCACAATCTTTGCTGAAGGAACCAGTGGCACTGCTGGTGGTTTCAATAATTCAATAATAACCTTTTGGTCTCTTAAAGTCAACCTGCTGAAACTCCTCAGGAAGGCAGAGGATAATTCTTACTTAAAGTTGGAAGGAATCCATAGTATAGTTAGGAGTGAAATTTGAAACCTATTCTAAGGCTTTAGGACTCATTAATATAGTTCTAGGACTAAATCTTAGATCATCTCCTTCCCATTCCATGATCCTATGATTTTTTTTTTCTTGGTACCAGAAATTGAACCCAGGGGAGGGGCACTTAGCCACTGAGCAACATCTCTATCACTTTTTTGTTTTTTTATTTTGAGACAATGTTTCACMAAGTTGCTAAGGCTGGCCTTGAACTTACCATCCTCCTGCCTCCACCTCCCAAGCCACTGGGATTACAGATGTGTGCCACCATGCCACTAGGTGGCATGGTGATCACCAGGCTGATCCTGAGATTTATGTTCATGGAAAACACCTGATATGTTCRAAGCAGAAATTTACACATGAAAATGCAGATGTCCTCACCTTGAGTCCTTTATGAGCCAGTGCCCGCCTATAATATGCTTTCACATTGTCACCATCTATCTGAAGCGCCTGATCACAGTCCTGCTTTGCTTCTTCAAACTGGCATAACTTCAGGTAGCAGAGGGCTCTGTTGTAATGCAAGGGAACATAGCATTAACAAAGGAAAGATAGCATATCTGTAAACTGAGACAACTAGTAAAAATCAGAGAACGGTTCAATGTGTCAGTTTCTACACCAAAGCTGTTTCAACTGAAACTGAACACATGACTCCAAGCTGTGAAACTCTCCTGCAGTGCATGAAATTACAGCACTGGCAATATAACTGCAAAGAAAGCCCTCAAGAAGGGTGCAGTCAGGTGCAGACAGAAGTAAACTGAGCAAATGCAATAAAGTCTGCACAGGTGTTCTGGGAGCACACAGCCAAGAATCACATCAGATCACACAGGGCAGAGTCAGGAGGGACAGCAGTGGAGACCTCCTGGAATAAGTGACATTTAAATTGAAATGCAGAGTATGAAGTGAGAATGATCCAAGTCACTAGGTTGACAGAGTCAAGGGGACGGCAGGGGACAGTGGAGGCTAAAGGTACAGCATGTGTACACACCTGTGCTGGGAGAGAGCATGAGGCTCCTAATGAATTAAGAAAAGCACCACATGGCTGCAGTGCAGGGCAGAGCCAGAAGAATGGGCAGGCCAGATCAAGGTCCTTACAAATCAGGGCAAGGAGGCTGAGCTGTATTCTGAGCTTTAACAGAGGTCTGCTGCAGGGACTTAATAGGGGCTGACATGTTTGCCAGGTTTTAGGAAGATCACCATAGCTACCTGGAGCAGAGACAAGAGAACTTAGGAGAACAAGACAAGCAGGAACATGAACATGAAGGCACACTATGGAGGGTGTTAGAGATCTTGCAGGAGATGACAGAGGCACAGAGAAGGGGAGTGATGTTGAAGGGGTCAGACAGTTCACGCTGAAGGGATATGTAGAGAGTAGGACCACTGAGCTTGCTGACATCTGAAACAGAGAGGTCAGGGGTAATGAGCAGCCCTGATACAGAAGGAAGGGGGTGTTTGGGTCTGACATTCAAAAGACACATTTGCAAAGTGCTAAATGGAGCTGACTGAGAGAGGGGATGAAATGGCCCTGACAGTTAGTCAACTGAAAAAGGGATCGAGAGCTCCTGAACCCTGAGATACCACAATAAGAAAAGCTGGCTGAGGGAGAAGAGAAGCTGTCTGTCCCTGCAGCCAGGGTAGGAAGGGTCTTCACTAAGAACCGCGCAGCCAGTGATGCCCATTCCCGTAATATGGACAGAAGGGCAAAGAATTTAGTGATAAGGTTTTTGGCTAAAAGATTGTCACCAGAGGAAAACATTCAAAAACATGGTGATAGCTTAGGTCAAGAAGTTATCTGAAATAGGGGGGAAAGCCTGCAACTATCCTCTCCTACTCTATCACCCCAGATTCTAACCGCTCCCTGAAAATCCCCAAATCACCACTTAGAGAGAGATTCTCTACCACATATGGCAACCAAGCAGCATTCTAGAATAGTCTTCCTGTTCCCATCGCACACTATAAAGGTACTGGTTCTTTCCCTCAGCACTGCAGAAGAAAAAGCGTACTGCTCCATAAGACACTGTTTTGAAAAGTCATTGGCTCCCATTCCTCCCCCGCTGGGCAATGCCAAGCTCAGATAGCTGCAGAGGCCAGGAAGCCAGGAAGTGCCAAATCAGAACAGCACCAGCCCAAGCAGCAACTGTAGCTYAAGAGGACCCGTCACTCCCACACCTCACATTTCCAATCCCTTTGCAACCTCTTTAGTCCCATCTCTTTCAGAAACACTCAGAGGACAACTTGACATATAAATTCCTAGAACCATGACCCCAAAACACTGGCAACTAATTACCTTATTGTAAATTAATTGCACTAATTAATAGAATACTTTTAAAATTATTACTTTTAAAATAATCAGAAGTCTTAACATAAGAAGTATATGAAGTTACAAAGAACTTGCCTGTTTGTATATATGGCACACTCCYTGTTATTAATCTTCAAGCATTCACTGTATTTACTAAGAGCATCTTTATAGTTTTTATCCTTTACATATTCATTTCCTTCTTCCTTAAGCACTTCAAACATTTTTTCTTCTACAGCTTCTATGGGACAAAGAAAAAAAAGAAAGAAATATTCATATAAATACCTCTATAAAATCCTAAGTATAGCTATAGGTAAATCTAATGTTGCTAATTAATTTGATCACACACAATACAGAGCTTGTCTAAATGGAACAAAACTAAAGAGATAATCTGATTACAAATAAAAATAATTATGTAATTATAAAACTATAATTTTTCAATTACAAAATAAGGTGAGCATGGGGGAACATAACTATAATCCCAGTGATTTGGGAGGCTGAGGATGGGCGAGCACAAGTTTGAGACCAGCCTCAGTAACTTAGCAAGGTCCAAGGCAACTTGGCAAGGCCCACAGGAACTTACAGATATCCTGCCTCAAAATAAAAAACAAAAAGGGCTGGGGATGTGGCTCAGTGGTAGGTAATGCAGCCCTAGGTGTAAAACCCAGCACCACTCCCCCGCACAAAAAAAAAAAATCACAAAATAAAATACAGGTAATTTCACACATGCTATCCATACTGGCATGATTTCTTTTGGGTTTATGGAAACCTTAACAAGCCAGAACTACCTGACAGGTAGTCCAAACAAGGACAAGAGCTAGAGTCGCAAATATAACTGCTCATCTTAACTGGCAAGACCCATGGTGATTTCTGTAACCTCAATTCATGAGACCTTGTATGGCACTTTCACAAAAGTATAGGGCACCTTAGATGTTTCATTAAGCTGTGAAAATGGCAGAATCCATCTATGAAATGCGGATACAAACACCTTCAGTATTCCGCTCAATAATCATTTTCATAAATAATGGCAAAGAAACCTCTTAACCCTGAAGTGGATATCTAACCAGCACGACAAATTTCCTGTTAAATATTTATGCTGTATTACTTTTATTCCTTTATTCCTGTCACATACATGGTATACTGGTTATCTTAATTCTTCTTCTCAATAATAATGCTAATTTAATGTTTATTAAGCAGATACTATAGAATTATACACTCAGTACATGTCATGTATACATATCTTCATTTCTTCTTGAGAAACCACCTCATGAGATATTCATATTTCCCCCTTTCCTATACACTTGGACATAGGAGGTATGAAACAACTTCTTTTTCTTTCTTTTTTTTTTTAAACAATGCATAGCTGGTTCATTTTATTTTCAGGATGAGAAATGGTGAATATTTCCAATCCATCACAATAGGCTTAGCATTTGTATCCAACCTCTGTGGATACTCACATTTTTAGTATCATGAAGAGACATCTTGGGTATGATTACAGTGTGGATGACAACACAGTTTGAAGTTTGGAAAGAGACATATGCCAAGTCAAATTCCCTAACAGGAGGCCCACTGAACATAAATTTTACAAAACAGACCTGGTATAATATCCAGTTAGTGATACACTGTTTGCTGTCAGGAAAGTCAGGGGCTGAGAAAGACCACAGAATTTCACACTATATATCCAGGTACTCTTCTAACAACCTGTTTCCTAGACAGACTTGAAGTTCACTAAGGAAAACGGAAGCTTCAGATCCAAACTTCCAAACCTGAAGTCCAGTCCAATTAAGTGTGACACAACTTAAGACCACACAGTCAAAAAGCAGAACAGGGTCTCTTAACCCCAGGTCTGATGCCAGAGTTCAGTCTCTTTCACTGCTCCACTGTGGAAATATGAACATGACTCAGGATAACTTCAGAGGAAATGAGTATAGGTTTCCCCACCTGTGATGCTCGGTGAGTGATGGCCGCTGGGATCTCCCCCTTGGTCTGGGGTCATGGGTGTGGCAGGATGCCAAGCTCGAAGGGGCTCAGAAGTGGGCACAGCAGGAATAGGTGGCAGCTTTTCCCGCCAATTTGGACCATCCAGTTCCATTAAAATTCTTGTTATTCTAAAGAGAAAATGAGTGTTCTTTACTTATTATGCAATTTGACTTTTACATTACTGAAGTCAGATAGAGTAAGGCTGACAAACACTATATCTAATTCTATGTATTTCCTTATAGAAAACATAAAATTTGAGCTATGTTCTTTCCACATAAAATAAATATTTTCAAAGAACTTTTACAAACTTCCATTAATGATATAAATTCAGGCCATTTCTTCTTCTTTTTTCTTTTTTTTTTTTTTATTGTTTGTTTGTTGGATTCAGGGTTTTTACGCTGCCCATACTGCCTCAAACTTGAGATCTTTCTGCCTTGGTCTCCTGGATAGCTGGAATGACAGATATATACCACTGTGCCCAGACAGACCATCTTCTAATCAAAAAAAAAAAAAAGCATTTTTAATTTAATTTTTTTAATATGTACACAATTAAATTTTAACTTTTCAAAAGTGAAATATGAAACCAAAATTTAGGAGACCTAAAAGAAATATTCCCCAATATTTAATGCAAGTACTAAATTGAAAATGTATTGCTCGAGAATAATCAGAAGTACTTTAGAATTTCTTTGCACAAACTGCACTATAGTGGTTGATGACAGGTATGCAAGACTGGTGCTAGAAGTGATTATGGCTAGCTGTCATATGGAACACCGCTTCTTAAATCATAGGTTAAGACAGTCTTACCTTGTATTTTTGACTTTCAAATTATCCACATATTTATTTTCTTTTCATATGAATAAAGATGAAAAAATAGGATATTGGAATCTACCATAAAGGCCCTTACACAATCRACACTAATGACAATCATAAAATTCAGGTTAACATCCTTCAGTATTACTTTCTCATTGTTTTAAACAAACAAAATGTCACACGGATTTAAAAACAAAACTGAATTATGTCTTTGGGATGAATCTGGTTTTAAAAAGGCACTTCCCAAGACTGAGAAGGTTTATTGCTAATTAATTAATGGAATGCACTGAAGTTAGCAGCTAAGTCTACAGTCTCAAATAGATTTTTTTTAATTGTTGATGGACCTTTATTTTTTTATTTATATGTGGTGCCAAGAATGGAACCCGGTGCCTCACACATGCTAGGCAAGTGCTCTACCACTGAGCCACAACCCCAGCCCCTCAAATACTTTTTGTATGAGGAATCTGTATATTAAATGCAGACAACTGTAATATACACACTTTTTCTACAGTTTCTAACCTGAAATTTCAAGAGCAATCTTTGGTTATGATGACTAAGTCTCATTGAATGTAAAAAACTAAACTTGAAAATTAATGTATAACCACCCACAACTGCAGAAGGAAAAAGATGCTTTTGAAAAAAAGAATTTTAAAGCAAAACTTATATTACCAGTAGAAAGGAAGGAAGAAGCAGCTGAAAAAACATGATGTGTTGCCAGGGAGTGAATAAGTATATGCAGGGAAATCTAACATAGTAAGATTCCTAGAGAGGAAAAGAGGAATATGGTTAATGGAAGACAGAAACAAAATAAGCACAAATGTTTAAATTAAAAAAAAATTAACAAGTTGCTGATGCTTACTTTTCCATGATGAGCTGAAACAGATGGAAAAGCAAGCATAAATATGGGATTCATGAAAAAAATAATAAAATTTTAAAAGTGTTTCTTTTATATTAAATATATATGGCAAAACCAAAGAAAGCCTCCTCTCGTCTTTATTATAGCAGAGTATACCAACAAGAACCATTCAGTTAAAAATAACGTAGTCTTAAAAGTCACTTGGTATGAAAGAACCTTGAGCAAATATACAAAATACAATACAAATCTCAAAAAGTTAAATGTAGCCATGTGAACCAGCAATTCTGCTCATATACACCAAAAGGAACTGAAAACAGGTATGTAGACAAAGTTATCCATAAGTGTTCATAACAGCATTATTCACAATAGCCAAAAGGTAGAAACAACTGCAATGTCCATTAAATGGTGAATGGATAAACAATACATGATATATACATACATGTAATGGAATATTATTCAGCCATAAAAAGAAATGAAGTACTGACACATGCTATACCATAGATGAACCTTGAAAACATTACACTAAATGAAAGAAGCCAAACACAAAAAGTCACATAGTGAATGACTCTATGTATATGAAATATACAGAACAGATGAAGACAGCAGATTGGTGATTGGTATGGGATGGGAAAGGGAGAATGAAAAGTGATGGCTTAATGGCTACTGGTTTCCTTTTGGGATAATGAAAATGTGTTGGAACTAGAAGGAAACAAGGGTTGCAACACACTGTAAGTGCCCCAAATGCCACTGAATTGCACACTTTCAAGGCAGGTAGTTAATTTTATGCTATGTGAATTTTATCTCAATTTTTAATTAAAAATATTAAATGCAGAAAGAGTAATCACAGTCTCTCAGACACAATTTCTCCCTTCAAACCATTCAGATTATTACCATAAACCATTGAGACTACCACTAGTTTTCCCAAAATATCTTTTTATCAGGCTCCTCCTCTCTGTCATATGTCACTCGATATTTCAGAAGAGCCTCTGTGAGAAGATCCTCCTTTCTCCCACCAGAAAACTGCCAGGCAAAGAATGGAGACAACTGATCACAGAGCCCCAAATCACAGGAGCACACTGAGCTTCCCCTGCTGGAGAACACCCTCATTTGAAACGTTGTTGCTGAGGACAGCTATCTACTGGCAGCTATGAAAATGGAAACACCATGATTCCTGACCTCAAGGAGCTCCCAGCAGAATGACAGAAGAATTTTATAAAAAGAGATACAAAGAATATAAAAACAATATGGGTGGGTAATGAGAGAAGGCCAGCATTATGGGGCACTGAGAAAGGGAAGCTAAGGTTCACGAACGAGGAAGGGGGGGTTGAGGTGGGGTGTTGGTGGGTCAGAGAAAGGCATTTCCTAGAATAAGGAAGCAAGTCCTCTCCTAAAGGGTGACCTGGAATTTACCAGACCAAATGAGGACAAGGCCTTCAGGCACATATGAGATGGCAAATGGCAGTAAGGTGGTTGGGCATCACCAGGTAAGATTGCCTAACAGCTCACGATCAAGGAGGCTGCCAATGCCGAGGCTGGGTCTCTTCCCTCTCTGCCACAAACAACCTATACAGGCTGAGATCCCCTACTCTAAATACTTGAGACACAAGTGTTTCAGATTTTAGATTTTTATTTCCAGATTTTGGGATAGTTCCATACATGTAGGTGATATTTAGGGGATGGGGCTCAAGCATAAACATGAAATCCATTTATATTTTATAAGCCCCTTATACACATAGCCCGAAGGTAATCCTATACAATATTTTTGGTGCATCTGTATTTGACTGTGATGGTCATATTAGGCCAGGTGTGGAATACTCATAGTATTGTGCTCAGAAAGTTTTAGACTTTGGAGCACTTTGGATTTCAGATTTCCAGAGTTAGGGATGCTCAACCTATGTATATCCCTTTCTGTTAGTCAAGCTGGGATCAGACAGGTTTCATGTGACCACCAAGTGGGAGCTCCAGGGAATGACTCTCGGCTCTGCATATAGATAGATCTTTCTAACAGCTTTCTCCACAGTGAGCTACGSCCATGCGGGAAGACAGGGCATGGCTTCAAAAATGAATTAACATAAAACATGCCATTTTCATTTTCTAAGTTTTGCTCAAGGTTTTCCTGGTGTTCCTCAAATGTACTCTTCAATAACTGTGGCCTGCACCCAGCCCTGATCTTACTATCTAACAAATGTCCCACCTGGGGATAATCTGTCTTATGTAAGTGTCCACCATAATTTCTATATTCTAATTTACTGAAAGACAGAGACCAAGTAATTTCTCACCTCTTTGCCTTTTGAAGGGGAGTGGGACCTAGTTAATAGACCAGCATAGGGTACAGGGTGAGCACATAAATATTCAAGAAGTTATATTTTGGACAAATGGAATCAGAAATTATTATACATACTAGAAATGTCATCCAACTCATAATTTTCAAATTTCACCTGAAAAGTAATTATCAAGTCTAGAGATTTTCTTATATGTGCCCAAGGCAGGGGGGCAGGTAGCGGGTATGGAACCAGAGCTTTTTTTAAAAAWWTTTTTTTTAGTTGTAGATGAACACAATACCTTTATTTATTTATTTATTTTTATGTGGTGCTGAGGATCAAAACCAGTGCCTCATATATGCTAGGCAAGAGCTCTATCACTGAGCCACAACCCCAGACCTGGAACCAGAGCTTTGAGCATGTGTGCAACCACTGAGCCCCACCACCAGCCTGAGTCTGGAAACTCCTACCTTCCCATTCTCACTCAGGGTAAGATCATCATAATATCAACTTGATCCAAACTCTTTGGTATTTCACCATTATAAAATAATACTCTTCCTAATTTACAAGGATCTGAGACAAGTATCTAGCTGGGTCATGAAGATGCCCACCCTCCTGAGCAAAAACACTCCACACAGATGCCTCTGCCAACAGACCTAGTGCCAATAAACACCTTGAAATCCTGTGAGAAGATTCGACCCTGTGAGAAGATGCATTTCTGGTGTTTATGACACTAATRAAAACACCTTCCTAATATCACAGGTTATTTAAGCAGCATGTGTGAACTATACCCTGTATTAGCTTAAAAAAAATTCACAGTATGGTAATAAATGGACCATGAAACAAATATAAAGGTCTGAGAGGACCACTCAATATATATGAAGGGTTAGTTAGAAATTAAGTTAGAGAGAGACAGAGAGATATGAAGTTTAATGAAGTGACATGAAATTTAAAGAAGGCAATCATTATGTAAAGTAAATAACTGAGAACACGTCTGCACTTCGACATCATTGTTGAAGGAGGGGGAAGGGAAAAATGAATTCCATTAGAAAACAAACAGACTTTAGCTAGCTGACTCAGATTAGATTACCTGTTAATACTGTCATTCGCTAGCTGGATTCCACAGTCTATTTGCAACACTGTTTTATAATCAACATAAGCTTTCCCGTACTGCTCTAAAGTTTCATAGGCCATTGCTCGTCGCAGAAGAGGTTTCATTGAGAATGGATGAAGTTCCAGAGCCCTAAAGACAAAAATATTACATATCATTGATCCTGAAAGCCACTCCCTAATTTACAGTATTAGACTCAAATACGTACATATCTAATATTTCATTCTGGAGACCWGGTAACATAGAAGAAAGGCAAAACCAAAGTAGCAGAGCCATTAAATTTGTGGTTACTTTCTTTGAAGCTGTACCAAAGCTCTACCATTTACTCTTTGCCCACTGAGGCGGGAGCTCCCTGCAGCATGCTTCAGCCTCCCCAGTGCCCACAGGGAGCCTTGCATGGCCCCATGCACAGAGTAAGAGATTCATGTTACTAACAGAGTAATACAAAAATCATTAAGTGCAACTGTATTTAATAAGGCACTTTAGTCTGAAATCACAAAACCTTGCATAGCATTTTGAAAATCAGCGCTCTAAAACTTTCTATATTTCATTATGATTTACTTGTTGCAAAAAAGTGTCGAAAACAGATTAAGACAATCAAGGAACTACACTTAAAATGATCTTTTGTATGCCATGATTTTTCATCTTGAACTTTTAAGTTTATAAAGTGCTTCCAGTATCACTAAAGATGTATTTCAAGGCTGTGTTCTTTGTTTTGTTTGAATGACTATTTAAAGCTACTTCAGTACTTCATGTACTTTATTTTACTCTGAAATAGAACATAAAAGACTGTATATTGCCGAGGGCCTTGCTAGGAGAACAGAGACTAAAAATGTGTCCCTCTCACAACCACTTGACTATATCCATTTCACAGCAGCCTTCCAGTGCTCGCAGTGCTGTTCATTAGATCAAGATGGCCCACAGCCAAGCTTAGGTTCCATAATTGATAAGACAAGGCATTTCATTTTTAGTATATTTTTGCATGGTAAATGCAACTTTGTTTATTTCCACAATCTCAAAATTGCATATGAGGTCAGGTGTAGTGGCCCACAAGTATAATCTTAGTAGCTTGGGCAGCAGAAGCAGGAGAGGAGGATCATAAGTTCAAAGCCAGTGTCAGCAATTTAGCAAGGCGCTAAGCAACTCATTGAGACCCTGTCTCTAAATAAAATACAAAATGGGGCTGGGGATACAGCTCAGTGGTTGAGTGCCCCCGATTTCAATCCCCAGTACCAAAAAAAAAAAAAAACCATGAATACAGGGGCAGCAGAAGCAGGAGAGGAGGATCATAAGTTCAAAGCCAGTGTCAGCAATTTAGCAAGGCGCTAAGCAACTCATTGAGACCCTGTCTCTAAATAAAATACAAAATGGGGCTGGGGATACAGCTCAGTGGTTGAGTGCCCCCGATTTCAATCCCCAGTACCAAAAAAAAAAAAAAAAAAAAAAAACCATGAATACAGGGGACTTCTGAACCAGAGCTTACAAAAGAGATTGTCATTCAAGTTAACGCAGTTAAGACCCTAAAGAGTCTCCTAATTTCAAGTCTGGCAGAAAATAGCAAAGACAAGCAAAAGCAGAGGATTATAGGCAACATTCATTTGTATTTAGTCTGTCAAAATATCCTCAATGGAAAGTTGCCCAAAGATTTTTTTTTTTGGTGTGGTTTAAATAACCCCAAAGGGTTTGTCTGACCAATTGGAAACTTTTTTTGTGGGAGGAGGTGTTTAAAAAATGTTGAGAATAAAAAATTTCTAGAATGTTGGTTCTCAAACTTTGCTTAGCCATCAAAATGTCTTTGTACCCGAGGGCGTAATACAGAAATATGGAGACACATGGTGTGGAGAGGGGCAGGGCTCTGGGCCCCTTATACATCTCAAACATCTCCATCACTCCCCTAGCGATTCTCAAAAATACCACTGGGAAACAATGAAGATCCTGAGCATAGATACTTAAAATTAAAAAGCAAATTTTCTCCAAGATACATAAAACACTATTTTCACGGGTTAAATTTTTAATTTTTAATATTTTAAATTCTGTCCCCATAGTTTTCCTTTGTCAATATCTGACTCATGGTACCATTTGTCTGGTAATGAYAGCTCAAAGAAGTCTTCAACGAGCAAGATAATTAACTGAAAAACTAAAAGGGAAGCTTCCTTGAAAATGTATATGCAGTCTTTTGGGGGTAAAAAGATAGTCATGTTGTCTGTTAGTAAATTATTTCTAGTTCACAGAGATTTAAATACATCCATATTTCAGCATGTTCACAAAGGCACAGCATGACTTCTCTGGCATAGAAACAAGTTTGAGAATCACAGCTTTAGAGTGATGTCACTCTCCACTGGGCATCATCTCCATTCCCCTCCTGCTGGGACTCACATACCAGCTATCAAAGAAAATATCTAAGTAGGTCGGCAGGCCTTTGTGGAGGTCAGCACTGACCAGCAAAGCCAGATTCCTTGGCCTAGAACACAGCTCTTGTCTAAGGACACCCTACCTAAACCCACACCTCAGTGGCCAGCTCCTGTTCTCCCCTAGGACCAGCCCCCATTCTAGTCTCCCTGGACACCATGGCTGGAGTCCCATCTTTGGCTTCCTCCTGGGTTGTTACACTGATACACGTGAATTTTAGCCAGTAAATGCCTGCCTCCTAAAACAATCTCACTTAAGGGCAAAGTGAATCCACTGTTTCACAGTAGGCTTGACTTCAGGGGTCTCAAGTTTTAATTAAAACATCCTGATCTCGCTCCATTTAGGAAGGCCTATGACTAACCTGAAAGGTAATGTATCAGAAACAGACACCGGAGCTTGGAAGGATGCTGGCTGTATATCACAACATGCCTGGTATCTAACAAATTCTCATGGTCTTGTCAATTACAGGCAGTGCTAAATGTTTAAGGATGGGCTCACTGGGAAAAGAAAAAAGGTTTGAAAGCCGAGCGACGTGGCACTTGCCAGTTTTCATGGTATCAGTGCTCACACCATGGCAGAGTTCAAGCTACCAACTTATTATCAACCAGCTCACAAAATCCTGAAACTGTTAGATTAGCTGATGTAAACCAGCACAACTATACATGGGTCAGGCCAAATATAAATATTCATGTTAAATCTGAACATATATAAAACTAGCAAAAAAAAAAAATCCAAGTGCCTTAAGACTTTTTTATATTGTAGGCACAGATCCTAGCAAATTTTGCCCTATTGATAGATAAACTGGCACTGTCAATGAAATAAATAATAAAGTATTCATATTATGGTGCCCACATAATCTATTGTCCAAGTTAAGCCTTCTTAGAGTAAAAAGCAGTGACAATTAACAATTACACGTGATAATAGAAGTAAACCAGGGCTGTGTGAGTCAAATGAGGACTTATTTTTCGGATGCACTAACAGTAACTTCTTGCTAAAGGGCTTCTGAAGTAGGCTTATTACTTAATGGCAAAAGAAAACAGTACGTTTCATTCATGTAACTCTATTAATCCATCCTAGCAAGTAACTAACTGAGTAGCCTTGGTGACTATATTGTGCGTTTAGGGAGTCGAAGCTGTATAAAAGAGCTTTCCTGATTGTAAATGGTTTAAATCCACTACAGTGAATGACAGGAACTTACAGGTGTGACCAAGTGTCAATTTAGGTGTTACAGATGTACAAACAGAGCCTGAGGAGATCAAGAAAGCAGACAGAAGGACAGGTGAGCAAGGATTTCAGGAGGAAAGATATGGAGAAGACATTACTAACACTGGGGACAAAGTGGGCAAAGGCTTGGAGACAGGGCCATGAGTGTAAGGAAGTGGTCCAGCTGACCAAATGGGAACAGGAAGCTTGTTTGGGGGCATTGTGGTGTCACAGTAGGTTATAATTGTCTGGAAGACAATACTGAGCCATTAAAGACCTTCTGGAAACAAGTTGAACAAAATAATTCTTCAGGAGAAGTTATTCTGAGGCCACAGTGAACTGGAACTAGTTATTAGGCTTCTTCAGTAGTCTAAAGGTGATATGAAAAGAGCATGCGTTAGGGTGGGGGCAAGGAAAATGAAAAAAAGTTTAACAGTTCATGTGGAGCTGGGATTGTGGCTCAACAATAGAGTGCTCCTCTAGCATGTGGGAGGTCCTGGGTTTGATCTTCAGCAACACATAATTAATCAATCAATGATAGATAGATAAATAATAGTGTCCAACTACTTCTAAAAAATAAATATTTTTTAAAAAGTTCATGTATGAGTGGAGAATTAGGACCTTTTGATATTAATCAATTAACATAACTTAAAGCTGTCTTAAGAAACCGGACCTTTATGCAGGACATTTAGAAGGATATGTATTCACCACATCGAAATTATAACAATCTCTTAACAAACCTGAAAACGTGCAGTTTACCTGTTACAATCCTGAATGCAGCCACTGCAGTTTCCTTCTTTTAGGTAACATGCTGCTCTATTTGAATATAAGATACTTAGATCATCTGCGCTTTCACTTCCTAAAATCACATTTAATTAAATACAGTTAAAATCCATTAGCAAAATCACAGTTCACCAGAATTAAAAGACAACCGCAGTCACAATGGCACTGCAGTGCTACAGACTGCTCATCTTGCAGAGCCCTTGGAGCTGTCTACCCCTGCAATGGCCACAAAGGAACGCCGGGCAGAGACCAATGCGACCGTGCCTGGCAGGGCACACGTTCCACATTCCAAGGTATTGCTCACATAGGTCAAGTCTTAGCGCACTTAGTCACCAGGAAGGAATGCAAGGGGGCAAGGGCTGTCACCTAGCCAGCGGCCTGCACCACCCCCACACGAGTCCCCTTAGGTTTGGGAAAGCCCGAGTAGCCCGGGTCGGTCTCGGGAACAGCTCACCTACCTGCAGGCTCCAGTTGCGCTATCGCCGCAGAGTACCGGCGGGCGGCCTCCGCGAACTGTCCATTTTTGAACAGCTCGTTGCCCTGACTCTTCAGGCCGTCCGGGCCGAGCCGGGCCCCTGCCGGGKACGCGTCGGTCTCATTGGGGTCCCCAGCACCCCGCCCGCCGCTGGAGTGCCCGTTGGCGCCGTCGCCGGTCGTCGCTGGGGCCAGTGGCCCGCCCCGCTTCTCGGCGCCGGGCCCGGGCGCCCGGCCCCGCCACGGGGCGCCCCTCGCCGGCCGCTTGCCGCCCTCGCTTTTGCCGGTCAGCTTCTTCTGGATGTTGCCCATGGCGCGCGGGACTCGCGCCCGCGGGGCGGCCGCTGTGGGGAAGTGGATGCGGGAAGTGAGTATTTGCATCACCAGCACCGACGACCCGGAGGCCGCGAGGTGCCGGGTGCCGAGGGCGGCTCGTGGGGAAGCCGAGCAGGGCGCCGCCCCCACGGGCGGAGCCGCGGTTCCCCGACCTCCCGGGCGCGTCCCAGTCCCCGCCCCCGGGCTCGCGCGAAGGAGGCCAGACCCCTAGTTAACCCTTTAATGTCAAGGGCTTGTGGCCGAAAATCAGCCTTTGAAAACCGTGTCCACAGTCAGGCCGTACCCGCTGAAGTCCATCTTACGTATTTACAACTTCAGGATGAATTAACCAGAACTTGACGAACACAAGGTCTGCACCCAACGTTAGGGGCACCCTTTCCTTTATTTTAAAGGACCAGCGGAAAAGGTCATTTGAAATAAAAAGTCAAAGTGATTTTTAAGTCATTTCAAAGTGAATTTATCAAACACATGAGATAAAACAGGCACCTAGTATTTATACTTAAAGGGACCATTAAAAACAGTGAATTTTCCATTCTAATGCCTTATTCAAATTAAAAATCACTTTGCATTTGATTGAAAGATTTCTGCCATTAACTTTAACAATGATTACTGAATCTATTTTTAAATGAAAATTATATTTCATTGATGAGTATCATAAATATTTAAAACAAAACAATCATGTCAAGATACTGTTGAAAAGCACTTACATATTCAGATTTCCAAGCATTCTCTTTTAACAAGTTCTAATATGATTTTTAGTAGCTATAATTTTCCATTCTCTTTCATGAGTTGTAAAGCCAAGATTTGAAGGGCAAAAACAGAGGGAACAGAAACTACAACCATCTCAATGAAAATCAGTAGATGACCTATCATTCTAAAGCAAGCAACAACATATTAATTAGTAGTTTTCAATATAATAGAATAACATTCCATTTGGATCACCAATCAAAAGGGGCTCAATTATTAAAACAATTAAAAAATTGTTACAGAAATAAATCCCCAGATTGCACCAAACCAGGAGCATTAGAGCAAGGCTCCAGTTTTCACCAATATCTTGCTACTTAAGTCCTTACTCAGAATTGGGTAGGAGTACAAGTCTGGATCAGCAGAAACTATGGACAACTTGGTATTATTTACCAAACAGATGCAATTTACTGAGAACTTAATAATATATACACCAATTTTCATACCAAGTATTATCATTCCCACTTTACAATTGAAACGAGGACACAGGAAGTAGCTAAGGAACTCAAATACAGAGAAATACAGTAACTAGGATTTGAATTATAGATTGAAATGTCCCTGAACAACTTATGCAGTCCTAAAAAGGTACTCAGAGGTCTGAACAAGGAAGAACTGTAAGTCTTGTTGGGTACTGACCTACCCATGGGATATTGGAGAAGAGCTGTTCAGGAGAAATGGCCTTTTCCAGATACATGGACTTGGGAGTTGATAGCATATGAAGGACCATCGAAGTCTGGGTATGGATGGGATTACCAGAGCCTTCAGAGGATATGAGAAATACTGACAAAGAATGAGCACAGGAAGAATCTCCAATGTAGATGGAAGAATGCCTAGAAATGAGAGAAGAACCGTGGGGGAGGGAAAAAAATTCCCAAAAAATATCAAAAGAAGGAAGGGCCAACAGTATGATCTTCAGCAATGTAGTTTGGATAGTTGGAAGCAAAAATCCTCAACAAAATACTAACAAGACTGATTCAACTCCATATTAAAGGACTATATACCATGACCAAGTGGGATTTATCCTAGGAATGCAAAGATTGTTCAACATTGGAAAGTCAATGCCAAAGGAGAACACATGGTCATTACAATTGATAAAGAAATGGCATCTGACAAAATCTGACACCCCTTTCATGATAGAAATATTCACAAAACTAGAAATTTCTCAACATGATAAAGGATGTTTGTGAAAAGCCCACAGCTAACATCATATTTAATGGTGAAAGAATGAAAGCTTTCCCACCAAAGATCAGCAACAATGATGTCCAATTTCACCATTATTATTCAACACTATACTAAACATTGTAGCCTAATCAATTAAGCAAGAAAATGAAATAAAAGGCATCAATATCAGAAATTCTATCCATAAATGATATGATCCTATAAAACAGAAAATCCCAAAGAATCCACTAGGGGATGGGGGAAAGTCTACTAGAATTAATAAACAAATTCATCAAAGCTGGAGGATACAGAGCAACATTCAAAAAATTAGTATATTTCTATATACCAACAAGGAGCAATCTAAAAAGGAAATCAAGGAAATAATTCTATTTATAATGGTATGTAAAATATCTAAGTATAAATTTTAAAGAAATTAAAAGACAAATAAATAGAAAGGTGTCCTGTGATCATGTTAGAAAAATGTTTAAGAGTCAGTATTACCCAAAGCAATGTACAGATTAAACACAATCCCTATTCAAACTTTTTTGCAGAAATGGTAAGGTCAACCCTCAATTCACATGTGTTTATTGTTCAAAACAGCCAAATAATCTTGAGAAATAAAGAACAAAATGGAAGGACTTACAATTCTTAATTTCAAAACTTACTAAATGCTATAGTAATCAAAATAGTGTGGTGCTGGCATAAGGACAGCCACACAGACTAATGGAATACAATTGGGAATTCAAAAATAAGCCCATATTTCAAGGCCAACTGATTCTTTTTTTAACATTTATTTTTAGTGGTAGTTGGGTATTGTATTTATTTATTTACTTTTATGTGGCGCTGAGGATCGAACCCAGGGCCTCACACATGCTAGGCGAGCGTTCTGCCGCTGAGCCACAAGCCTGGCCCCCCCAACCGATTCTTGATGATTGTGCCAAGTCCATTCAATAGGAAAAGAACAGTTTCAAATGGGTGCTGGGACAACTGAATTTCCACATGCTAAAAACAAAACAACAAAAAACTAAGCTGGACCCCCACCTCACACCATATATAAAAAAATAATTAAAATGGATCAATGACCTCTATGTAAGAGCTAAAGTCAACTAGGCATGGTGGTACACACATGTTAATCGCGACTTTGGAAGTTGAAGCAGGAGAATCACAAGTTTGAGACCAGATTTAGTAACTTAGAGAGGCACTAAGCAATTTAGCAAGATCATGTCTTGAAATAAAAAATAAAAAATGGCTGGGGATATAGCTCAGTGGTAAAGCATCTCTGGGTTCAATTTCCAATATCAAAAAAAGGAAAAGATCTCAAGTCATAAAAATCTTATAAGAAAATATAGGGGCAAACTTTCACAATGTACAATTTGACTGTGGATTCTTATACATGACACCCAAAGCAAAAATAAACAAAAGCTGATAAATTGGACTTCATCAAAATTAAAGCTTTTGTGCCTCAAAAGAAATTACCAACCAAGTAAAATGTCAACCGAATGGGAAAAAAATTTGCAAATCATGTATCTGATAAGGGTCTAATATCCAGAATATATAAAGGACATTCACTTTAAAATGGGCAAAGGAGCCAGGCACAGTGGTGCTTGCCTATAATCCCAGCAGCTGGCAAAGCTGAGGCAGGAGGATCCCAAGTTCAAAGCCAGCTTCAGCAAAAGTAAGGCACTAAGCAACTCAGTGAGACCCTGTCTCTAAATGAAATACAAAATGGGCCTGGGGATGTGGGTCAGTGGTTAAGTGCTCCAGTACCAAAAAAAAAAAAAAAAAAAAAAAAAAGGCCTGGGGATGTGGGTCAGTGGTTAAGTGCTCCAGTACCAAAAAAAAAAAAAAAAAAAAAAAAAGGGCAAAGGATTTGAAGGGACATTTCTCCATATAAGATAAACAAATAACCAATAAGTATATAGAATGATGGTCAACATCATCATTAGGGAAATGAAAATCAAAACCATAAGGATAACATGTCAAAATACACTCTACTGTCATGTGTAAAAAAAAAGTTAAAAAAAAAACATAGGGAGATACCATTTCATACCCTTTAGAGTGGATAATCAAAAAGGCTTGGGGCTGGGGATGTGGCTCAAGCGGTAGCGCGCTCGCCTGGCATGCATGCGGCCCGGGTTCCATCCTCAGCACCACATACCAACAAAGATGTTGTGTCCGCCAAAAACTAAAAAAATAAATATTTACAAAAAAAAAAAAAAAAGGCTGACAATAAGAAGTGTCGGCAGGGCTGAGGCTGTGGCTCAGTGGCAGAGCGCTTGCCTAGCATGTGTGAGGCCCTGAGTTTGATCCTCAGCACCACATAAAAACAAACAAATAAAATAAAGGTATTATGTCCAACTACAACTAAAAATATTTAAAAAAAGAAGTGTCGGCAAAAATTTGGAGAAATTAGAACCCTTAAATATTACCAGTGGGAACAGTAAATGATGTAGCCACTTTGAAATACAGTCTACAGTTCCTCAAGAAGTTAAACATATAGTTACCACATAACCCAGTAACTCTAGGTTCAAGTACATGCCCAAGAAAACTTAAAACATCTATGCACACACACAAAATAGTATGTAAATGTTCTGACAGCATTATTTTTAATAGCCAAAAAGTACAAACAACCCAAATATCCATCAACTGATGTATAAAGAAAACATCCATACAATGGCATAGTATTTGTAAATAAAGGAATGAAGTACTGATACATGCTGTAACATGGATTAATCCTGAAATATTATGTTAAGTAAAATAAGACAGGTATGAAAGGCACATATTATATTATTCTACTTATATGAAAAATTTGAACTAGCAAATCCCCAGAGGAAAAAAAGAAAAAGATTAGTGATCACAGGGGACCAGGGAAAAGAAAGAATGAGGAGTTACTACTAATGGGCATGGGATTTTTTGGGGAGTAATAAAAATGTCCTGGAATTAGACAGTGGGATTAGCTGTACARTATACTAAATATACTAAAATTCACTGAATTCAAAAAAGGATAAATTAGGGGCTGCAACTGTGGCTCAGTGGTAGAGTTCTTGCCTAGCATGTGTGAGCACTGGGTTGGATCGATCCTCAG